GTGTGTGTGTGTGTGTGTGTGCGCTTACTGACACTTGTCTTCCATATTGGGACAAAAAGGAAGATGTCATAACATTTCTCTTAAATTAAAACGACATGTTTTAAGGTTATGGTTAAGGTTAAGGGGGTTTAGCTAAGGTTTGGAAATTTTCTCACTGGGTAATAGATTTTCAACAATCCCAGTTTTACCCATTACACATGCAGGTACTTTTGCAAAACCTGTCTGTCTGTATCTGTAGAGCATTGTAGAGCGCTCTGAGTATCAATAAAGTTTCCCGGTCCGTGGCAGACAGGCAGAACTTTTAATAACACCTGCCCTTTCTGTATACCCCATCTTCCATGTGTGCATGAGAGTTTGTCCAGCTGCTGCCACCGAAATGCTGCAGAATAATGATACCATCAGTATTTAGATTGGTTCCCAGAATAATTCTCCTGGGAAAACAAATGCTCAACTTGCAGCACAAAGGACATGAAGGTGCCTGCACAACCAAAACCAAAAGAGGATAGTGCTTTTGTTTCTAACGGTAGCTTTTCCATGAAGCATTGGAAACATTGTTGTTAGCAAAGGAAAAGAAGAAGAAGGACAATGATAGTAACGGTCGTAAAATAAAAGAACAGTAGAAAAGATCAGCTAGTAACAGAACCTACATTTATTTCATTTTACTGAAAACGTAAATCTACACAGTAAGACCTAACTTTATAACATACAGGTAACACTAATAAGGAGGGGAAGAGACGATAAAATGTTCATGACTGGTGAAGTCAATCGCCTGACCTCGTACCAGCTGACTGAAGAGTTTTTAAGTATTAAAGAAAATTCAGTGCAGCAGAATCAGATATCATCCTCTGCTTCCATGCATTCTTCTTCTTAGTCACGCACAATGATATTTAATCGAAAGCGGTATGTATCCTCAACCCACAAACCAGAGTTTAGGATTACAAGACTCTGTTAAAATCACTGCTGGCTAACTCCACACCAACAGATTACTCTCGAATTTCAATTTGTAATCTTCAACCCCAGCAGATGTTCTGTCACTTTATCAGATTTCACACAGCTCTGAAAGTCTTTTTTTTAACCAAATATGCAGTGCTTCTCCCCCAAACTTCCAAACAGATTTTGATGTGTTCAATCTGAGGAGTTCTCCTTTAAAGTTACCACTTTGACCTCATGGTGACTTTTTCGTCGCAGGCCCAGAGCACTGGAGTAGAGCCAAAAAAACAAAAAAAGTGTCACCAACAAAAACACTAACTACAGACTGCAGTGTAGCTGCCATATCATTTCTTTTGCCGGGAGACAGATGTAAAATGCTAAATGTAAAGGTCCACACTTGGGCGGAGCTACAGCTCTGAAGCAGTATGCACCAAAACTGTAACTTTCAATCCCAACTACATCTGGATCATGCTCCAAATTGGATGCAATGATAGTGGCCCCTTTGGGTCGGGCCGACGAGGGGGTCTGAGGCGTAATTACAGGGCCCCTCTCTGGGCAAGGCTCCTGGCACTGACACACACAGGCAAAACCATTCTTCACAAACACAGACATGAATGGTAAATATGAGCCTTCCACATGGACTCTCTTGTAAACAGTTAAATGTACAGACAGAGGGGCCGAGCAACACCCACACACACAGAGAGAAAACACACATTAGGAGGGTAAGTAATAAGATCTAGGATGTGTCACAGCACGACAGTGACCTCTGACTTCTGACCCACTGCCCAACTCTCCATGTTTGTGCTTTTGTACGTGTGTGTGCGCAAATGTCAGAGGTATGTTGGGGGGTCTGGACGCAGAAAGAATGAAGGAAGCAGCTGCAAACAGTCCACCTCTCTCTCTCTCTCTCTTCTCTGTTTCTTTTTGCCTGTGCTGTGTATAACCAAGAGTGTATTCCAGACTCTGGACTGAGCACGTGAAAGACAGACTGCTTTTAAATTTGCACGCCAAGTGGATACCTGCCAACAGTTTGATAGGCCTCTCATCCCTCCTTCCTGCCCGTCCCTCTCACGGTTTCTCGCCATTCCAGTTCCTCTGCTAATCCCACTTGACTTTTACCTCTTTCCTTTAACACATTTCTTGCGCATTTCCTTCCCTCTCCTCTCCTCTTCCTCTCCTAGCCTCCGCCACATTCATCTCCTCGCTCTCACCCCTCCCTCTCCCTCTTCCTCTTTTGTCTCCAGGAGAATTGCTGTCTTTTCTCATTAAAAGCGAAGAAGGTCTGTAAACTCTCATAAACCACCCATTTCTCCCTACAACCCTGATTTACAGCCACTCTATCCCTCCTCCTCTCTTCTCGCCCCCTGCTCGTGAGAAACCCCATCTGTTACCCAAAACAAAATCAGTGACAAGAAAGCAAAACTGTTGCAGTTAGAGGCCCGGTCATCGAAAAATGAAATGGATTGATTCACATCCAGAAAGCAAAGCAAAGGAGAATAGAAAAAAAGCAACAGGGTGTTTTTCTAACTTTTGGATTGGG